GAAACTTGTTCACTTTGACAGCTGAAGCTGACAGAGTTTTGTGTCAACTTGTGATGTTTTTAACTGTCTTTTTCCACTTGATGTACAAAATGAAATACAAAGGACCGGTTACGCCGGTTCTTTGTGGATTTAATTAACTTTTTGAGTGGTATAAATTAACGCAGATGACGTCATGCATCTCATTAAGATAGGATGATGTCATAGTTTCAATTAATGCCGATGACATAATGCATTCCATTAAGATAGGATGATGTCATAGTTTATTTTTAGCTGGCAAGGAGCAAGTGACGTCAGGATACCCTAGGGGTTGATGTTCATCAAAAAATGTTGAGATCATAATCTTTAAATAGAATAATGATATCATGTCCTTACTTGGTCATGATGATGTCATATTTATCCAGGTAAGATGATATCATGGTTTATTTTTACCTGCCAGTTTTTTCTATTGTTCCTAAACACATAAAATGGCGCTCCCTTTCCAAGCAGTCATTCACGAATTGTCAGAAGAAGTCATGAATTTCAATCAGTTAACCAGTTTCTATGACGGTCCCCCGGAAATTTTTCAACCATGGGATGAAATCCATGGTTGAACGACCCATGGTCGTTACCAACTGAACCAAGTTTTACTTTTTTTAGGATACTGGACGGCCTCACTTAAACGAAATACAGAGTGGAGTGGCCAGGAAACGACAAGCCAAGGTAGGTTCTACAGTACTTTAGGTACCATCCAGATTTCGATTTTGGGTTGTTCGACAGACTTTATTTATAACCACGAAGAGCTCAGGAGCCGTAGCTCGTTAAATTTCCCACGCGTTTAAAAATAGAGATGAAAATAAAAAAAATAAATAAAATTGTCCAAAAATACAAACAGATAAAAACATAAAAATTAAGAAAAAAAAAACATAAAGCGTGGAATACGTAAATTTAGCAGTAGTTAATGGCTTTTGCATATTTAAAATTGCATTGAGAAGAAACAGCTTGTACAAAAGTTATCTTGTGATAGATTCGATTTAGATAATATTGTCAATGAAGTCAGATTTTATCCTTAATGGACTTAAAAAATATTTTTACAAGAACAACTTATGGTGTATAAATAAAGGAATTATGAAACCATGCTGTTGAGACTTTGTTGACGTAATTTAGAACAAGAGCGCGCAAATAATACTTGTCGCACTATATTTTTTAAACAGGTTTGTAAATCCGTCGTTAATACAACTTATAAATTTTACAGGATGAAGTAGACTCTACTTCTTCTAAAATACCACGCTATCCAGTTCTTGGAAAACGACATGAATGTTCCCTCTGTGGGCGAAAGTTTAATCGAATAGATGCCTTAAAACGACATGTGAAACAAGTTCATGAACGCTGAGCGGCTCAGCGGGAATACGTATGTAATACCTGTGGTGAGGTCTTTCACAATCTGGCTCCATTTCAAGCACATGTAAAATCAGCACACAGTAGACCTTCTACGGCTGCCAAACGTCTGCACTAAGACGACTCAGGTAGGAAGACTCTTTTGCAGTAACATAAAAATAACATTTTGTGTGAATGATAAGTGCTATGTAAATTTCCTTCGCAAAGCATAATAGAAAGTAGGATATGTTGAAAAAGTGCTTTATTGGCCTTTGTTTACAGTAATACCTTACTGAATATAATAGAGGTCACACATTGTTAAACACTTCTTTTGTCCTTAAAACCGTACTTATTAAAGGCTCAAAATTAGGGCCGTTTTTAACCAGGAATCATCGTGTGGCTTATATCGAGATCACTCCGCTTTATTCCAATATTGTTTTGGAAGACTACGTCTACTCTGAGGTGTGATTTTGGCATGTAAAGCTGAATCTTGACACCCAAAAACTTCCTGATCTGACGTTTTCCCAGTATATTACAAAGGCCTAGACCGGGAGTCAAATGAGAGGTTTTTTTAAAAAAATAGTAATAATAATGAATGAATTGAGTAAACACTTTTCGTTGTAATTTAGCAGCCTTTGTTTCTCGAGTTAAAAAAAACTGCGACTTCAGAGGTAACTTCAGAAAATTGCTAATAATCTGATATTCCATATATTCCGTGTGAGTGTCACCATTTTGTTTTGTAATCGGAGTTGAATTTGCCGTAATTTTTGGTGGTGGTAAGCTCACGATAAATGAAATAAAGCGAAATTGTATTTTGAACACATTTGAGATATTCTATTTACACATCCTTTATTTTCCTTCAAAGCGAAAAACCAAGAAAGCAAAGTCAACCCCTATCGAAAAAAAGCAGTCAACTCCAAGTTCTAGTTGGCAGCAAGAGTCAAGATCTATCACCGATCTCCCTGAAGCACAACAAAGTTTCGTTCCCGAATACCGCAACCACTGGCATCAAATACGCACTCGTTTTAGCCGCAAGAATCGTATTTTGGACTGGTACAATTTCCGCCAGTCCTCTCTCCAACCTCAAGAACTTATCACTCATTTGAATAACATTTTTACTGACCAGTCCACGGTGTTTAAGCTGAATGTGTCTTTTGGTTTCATTCTACGCAACAACGAGACTGGAGCACTTCAATATTATTATGCCTCCAGAAATAATGA